CCCAGATTATGCGCTGACAGTGTCAGAATCAGAGTCACACGAGGGATGGCCATGGTGCTGGAGGGGGTGCGAGCAGCCTGCGGGAGTGGGGGGAGGGGCTGTGAGTGGAGCGGCGAGGCCCCGGGGGCCACCAGCTCTGCTGGAGAGCCGTCCCCCCATGGCCTCTTCTACACCCAACTCTCAGAACCAGGGAGCAGCAGTGTGATGTGGGGAGAGGCTGTGGGCGTGCCACACCTTGAAAGGAGCCCCCGTGTTAACGACTGCACATCTTCCCCACCCTCACCGCCCAAGCCACCTGGCACCCTGCCAGCCTGGTTCACCAGCCCCAGGCCTGGCCCTCGCCTGCCATACTCAGGAACCAGCGAGGCCCAAGACCTGCAGCTCAAGTGAATGAATGAACCAAGCACAGGCTGGGCCGGGCCAGCTGGACAGCCAGGCTGACCCGATGGTCCCGAGAGGCCCAGGTCAGTGGGGCCATCCCCACCTCATTATGGCCGCGAGGGACAGAGCCAGCCAGGAATAGCAGATTCCCAAAGGCCCAGATGTGGGGTTCTCAAGTCACGGCACACAGCCAGCCCCAGAAGCCTCTCGAGGGGGCAGGGGAGGGTCCCCCACCCCCCCAGCTTCAGCCACGCGGCGGCCTCTTTCATCTGCTCACATACTGAGTCTCTGTGTATACCTACGTTGGGGAAACGTGTTTTGCTGCTAAAACAGTTTGAAAGGTGTGGGTCTTGACAGCCCACGAGGAGCAGTGGGACACCTGGGGAGGCCAAGGTACAAGCCCGCCTTGCCTTCAGACACCACGCGGGAGCGAGGCCCTGAGCATGGCTTCCCTCCTGGGCAGCCCGTGGACGCACGATGCTGCCCCTCCCTCCCGCCTTCCTCCTGAACCCAGCAGCTTTCTCTGGGCACCTCTGCTGTGGTTTACACTCGTCTGGGAAGGCAGATTTAAATCGACAGGAACTTGCCAACTTGCTGAGCCCTGGTTTTCAGCTGAGAAACTTGGTCACCAATTAGATAGATGACCCACACCTCCCAGTGGCTAGTGTCATGGTTTGATCTGCCTTAGGGCCTGATCCTGGCCCCCATTAGCCCTCTCCAGACCCTGGCCCAGGATGCTCTGACTTTCCTCCAGGTGGTGAGGGTCTCGGAATTTGGGCCACATCATTTTTTTTTTTTAATTTTATTTATTTATTTATGGCTGTGTTGGGTCTTCGTTTCTGTGCGAGGGCTTTCTCTAGTTGCGGTGAGCGGGGCCCACTCTTCATCGCGGTGCGCGGGCCTCTCACTCTCGCGGCCTCTCCCGTTGTGGAGCACAGGCTCCAGATGCGCAGGCTCATTAGTTGTGGCTCACGGGCCTAGTTGCTCCGCAGCATGTGGGATCTTCCCAGACCAGGGCTCGAACCCGTGTCCCCTGAATTGGCAGGCAGATTCTCAACCACTGCGCCACCAGGGAAGCCCTGGGCCACATCATTTTGATGCTGGTGAGACCTCAGAGAAGGAAACCCTCTCACCAATGCCCCTGTTTGATGACACCCAGCCTGCAGGGTCTGAAAGCCTTAAGTTGCTTACCTGGGTCAGGCCAGGCTGGGGCTTAGGAGTAATAACAGCAGCTATGGCATCAAACGTCCCATACCAGGCTGTTCGAAATACTTCGCAGACACTAAGGAGCTCATTTCATCCTGTGATAACCCCTGTTACAGGTGGGTAGACGGAGGCTCTGACGGGTGAAGGGACTTGTTCTTAATGAGCAGAGGAACTTGAACCCCACCTGTGACTCTGAAACCTGCAAGTTTAACCCCCCACCTGTGAACTGCCTCCTCCCCAGGTGGAGAGAGTCTGTCACAAGGTGAGGGAGGGGCAACTTTCAAAAGCCTGGCCTCCTGCCTGGGCTGCTCCGTCAGCCTCAGGGTCCCTGGGGTCAGGTGCAGCCGCCTCCCTCCAGCTCCCACCTGCCCTGTTGGTCCCTCCCTCCTGCTGGGACTGTGACCCCACCCCCACCCCCCCACGGGCTCCAGATGGCTCCCAGCCTGGGCCTGGCCTCCACCTGGGTCAGCAGCATGCAGGCTGGGAGGCCTGGCTCCCGGGAACCAGTTGCCGTGGAAATACGGGGCGGGGTGTGGAACAAGGTTCCCTCCCTCCCTTAGGCTCCTCCCCTCATGGCCTGGCAGCCTCTGCATCCACCATTTCCTGCTTCTGCCCCTTCCCTGGCTGCTCCGGCACATCCCAGGGTGGGCAAACGTCAGCTGGCCCTATGGCTAGTGAGAGGGGCAGGCCCCAGGGAGGCCAGGGCTTCACATCCCAAACCAAGAGCCCAGACTGCGAGCAGCAACCCTGCAGAGGGCAGGAAGAGAGTTCTGCACTGACCAGGGAGCGCAGTGTTACCCGGGAGCAGTGTAGACATCCAACGCTGGGACCGTCAGGTAAATAAGCCAGGGCATCTCGGACGCTGCAGCCATGGGTGTCCCAGGGGGTTGTGAGCCGGCATCTTTCAAAAGCAGGTTACAGAACGTTGTGTGTAGAGCACGTTACAGCTTTTATTAAATCTACGCTCTATAGATGGAGAGAAGGTTCTGGAAAGGTGGCTGCCTCTGGGTGGCAGGATTACAGGTGATTTAAAAATCTTATTTTGTCTTCTATTTTATAAATTTTCCACAGTGAACATCTATCGTGTCATTTTTTTCCCAAAAGTTTTTTTTTTGTTTTTTGGGGTTTTTTTTTTTCATTTCTGAGCAGCAGGGGTTGCAGCAGCAGTTTCGGTATCTCCTGTAAAGTTTCCAGGGAAGTTCCCAGAGCCAGGCTGCACTGAACTGGCATTTGGTCATAATCCTCCCCCCTTCTCTGGCCCTCCTGGTGCGCCAGGCACCCGGGGGGACCACCTCGTCTCGTTTGCTGGGACTTCCCTGTTTTAGCCCTGAACTTCTTATGTCCTAGAAACCCCTGTGTCCCAGGCAAACCCAGGACAGTCAGTCACCCTGTAGGCACTGTGTCAGACCCCGTCTGGGAGGCAGGTGTTTGGGATACCTTGTTACAGGTGGGGGAAGTTAGACGACTTGTCCAAGGTCACAGTCAGGAGGCTCCGAGGCTGGGACTCGAACCCAGGTCTCTGTGGCACTCGCAAGCCCCCACTTTGGCTGACCGGGTGCCACTGTGATCAGCTGGATGAAAGTGGGCCCTTGGCGTGGGCCTTCGTCTAACGGCACAGAGAGGCAGAGCAGCCTCTCCAAGGCCACACAGCGGGGTGGTGGTGAACAGGACGGACAGAGATCCAGTTCTCCCCCAAGCTCCCCAGATGGGAAAGGAGCCCGCCCCTCTGGCTCCGCACCCCAGGCCAGCGACTCAGCTAACATTTGGAGACTGCCGTCCTGTGTCTGACCCTGGGCATACGCCTACGAACAGAATAGATTTGGCTTGACCCCCCTTCTGTGAAGTGATGGTGGTGGGGAGGAAGTGAGGGGTTAACCCCAAACCTCTCACCACCCAGCGGGTTCCTTAGTTGCGGCTGGGTAAGTGCCATGAGGAGAGCGTGGGCTGTCTGGAGGGCAGGGAAGGCCTCGCTGGGGGTGTGACGTTTAGGCTGAGGCCTGGCAATGACGGAGAAGTCAGAGGGAGGGAAAGGGAAACATCCAGAAAGAAGGAGGAGCAGGCAGGGGTGCTCCAACCTCCAGGGCTTCGTCTCGTCTTCTGCAAAATGAGGACAATATGGTATAGCTGCCATGGAAAACGGTCTGGTGGCTCCTCAAAAGACTTTACATAGGGAATTCCCTGGCGGTCCAGTGGTTAAGACACGGAGCTTTCGCGGCTGAGGGCCCGGATTCAATTAATTCCTGGTCGGGGAACTGAGATCCTGCAAGCCACGAGGCTCAGCCAAAAGAAAAAACAAATTATACGTCGTTAACACGTGATGGAGCAATTCCGCCCGTGGGGATGTGCCCCAAAGAACGGAAAGCGGGTTCTCCACAAATACGCATACACAGATGTTCATAGCAGCATTATTCACAGCAGCCAGTATGTACAGACAACCCAGATTCCATCAGCAGTGAATGGATACACAAATTGTGGCAGGTCCAGACAATGGAATAATAGTCAGCCATAAAAAAAGGAATTAAGTTTTGATACCTGCTACAACATAGATGGGCCTCAAAAACATTACGGTACGTCAAAGAAGCCTGATGCAAAAGGTCACGTATTGTCTGATTCCACTTACATGAAACGTCTAGAAGAGGCGGATCCATAGAAACGGGAAGCAGACTGGTGGTTGCCAGGGGCTGGGTGAAGGGGGGACAGGGACCACCTGCATGATGGGAACTGGGTTTCTTTTTGGAGCTCGATAGAGGTGACGGTTGCACAACATTGTGAATATACTAAATGCCGCTGAACTGTACACTTAAAAATAGTTAATTGTGGGGCTTCCCTTGTGGCGCAGTGGTTGAGAGTCCGCCTGCCGATGCAGGGGACACGGGTTCGTGCCCCGGTCCGGGAAGATCCCACATGCCGCGGAGCGGCTGGGCCCGTGAGCCATGGCCGCTGAGCCTGCGCGCCCGGAGCCTGTGCTCCGCAACGGGAGAGGCCACAACAGTGAGAGGCCCGCGTACCGCAAGAAAAAAAAAAAAGTTAATTGTGTGTTATGTGAATTTCAGTTCAACTTAAAAAAGATGGCAATGGTAACACCCTGTTCTGGGGACTGGCGGGGGCTTCAATGAAGTCCTTTGAGAAAAACCACCAGCCCAGGGCCCCATTTGTCAGGATGAGATCCTCTGACGGGCCCACAGTGGCCCACAAAACCCCTGATCGCCACTCTCTCATTCAGCACTTTTCTCTGTCCGGATATCCCAGGGAAGGGCCTTCCAGGTAGAGGGAACAGCACAAGCAAAGGCCCCGAGGTGGGAACCTGCCCGGAGGCCCGCGTGGTTCAAGTGAAGGAAGCCCGGGCGCAGTGGGGGGAGAGCACGCAGGAGGCGGCGCTGACGGCCTTCGGGGCCTCTCTCTCCTGCCCACAGCCCTGCTCCTGGACATCATGACGGTGGCTGGCGTGCAGAAGCTCATCAAGCGACGCGGCCCGTTTGAGACGAGCCCCGGCCTCCTGGACTACCTCACCATGGATGTCTACGCCTTCCCCGCCGGACACGCCAGCCGCGCGGCCATGGTCTCCAAGTTCTTCCTCAGCCACCTGGTGCTGGCGGTGCCCCTGCGCGTCTTGCTGGTGCTCTGGGCCCTCTGCGTGGGCCTGTCTCGGGTCATGATCGGCCGCCACCACATCACCGACGTCCTCTCCGGCTTCGTCATCGGCTACTTCCAGTTCCGCCTGGTCGAGCTGGTCTGGATGTCCTCCAACACCTGTCAGATGCTCATCTCCGCCTGGTGAGCCGTTCATCTGCGGCTCCGGGGCCGGGGGTGGCCCGAGGGGCAGCAGGAGGACATAGGGCTGGCAGGGGAGGGGGGACCAGGCAGCCCCAGCCCATCTCCCCGTGGGCCGGTGGAGGCTGGTGACCTCAGGTGGGCCCACCAGTGACTGGCACGTCCCTCCCATCACGCTGGGTGCCCCCTGCTCCTTCAGTCAGACCCTGAGTCCCTCTGTGGACGGGCTGGGGCCCAGCCGTGCGGATAGCCCTGCCCCGCTTCTGCTCTGGAGGTACCAGGTGAGAACCGGGATGGCGGGAGAGGGGCCGAGTCTCATCTTGTCCTTTCACCATCACGACTGTTGAGTTCCTGGCTGTGCCCACCTGACCACAGCACACCGCCCAGCGAAATGCCCACAACCCACCACCCAGCACAGGTGCCATTGCCATTAATGGTCATCGATAGCTTAGGGCAGTGCTTTCCAAAGGGTGCCCCACCAGACACCAGCCTGCAAGACACGTTGGGAAGAGAAATGGTCTTGTGGTCAAATAACTTTGGGAAATGCTACACACTCTGTTGGACATTCACGAGGGCTGGGATTGTCGTAAAGGCAAAAGTCCTGTAGAAGAGCTTCCGTGGAATCTTGTTTAATCCATGTTTCCTAAACTTATCTGACTACAGAACCCTTTTCTCAAGGAACAGCTATTAACCCCCCCCAGGGAACCGCATTTCCCCAGACGCATTTTGGGAGATGCAGCCCAGGAGCGGAAGGGCCTGAGGCGTGAGCTGGCCTCTCCCAGCGCTGGGCCCCAGAGCCCCGGGAGGCCAGGTGTCTGTGCCACCGCCTGTGGAAAGCCCAGGGCCCACGGGCATCGGTGCCGCTTTGGCCCCCAGGGGCCGGACTCCGTGTGACCTAATAGGTCGTTTCCAAGTCAGCCGTTCTGGACGTGCACTTCATGTGACAATACAGATGTGCAAACAGGCCCTCTCCTGTGTGTTTTTTTTTCCTCGTTTGATGCAAGATTCCAGGTGGGAGAGTCCCTGTTAACATGGGGGTGGGGAGTGATTTCTTTACCCCCAGTCAGGCCACGGTGTCAGGTGGTCAGGGGGCAATGGGCTCCTAGGCGTTTCCGGGCTGCCTGGTCCCTTCTCCCTGAGAAGCCCTGCTGGGGCTCCCTCCATCCCCGGGCCCTGCACTGGCCACCCTGCCCAGGGCCTGCGTCGTGATTCGTTTGGAAAAAGCCCTCACTGTGGTGCTAAGGGGCTCTCCCCTGGGGGCCAAGACCCTCTCACTCCCCGCTGACCCAGACCCTGCCCCCAAGGAAGTGGTCGCTACCAGGACAAGTGGGCTCAGGGCGAGGTAGACATTAGCACCGACAGAGGATGGGTTCGTTTCCTGTCTACCATAAGGAGTAACCACAGCCAACCGCGTGGCTTAAAACAACAGGAGTGTGTTCTCTCTCAGTTCTGGAGGTTAGAAGTCCAAATTCAAGGTGTCTGCAGGGCCACGCTGCCTCTGAGACTCTGGGTAGAATCCTTCCCCGCCTCGTCCAGCTTCCGGTGGTGGCCGGCAATCCTGGCTGTGGCCACGTCACTCCAACCTCTGCCTCTGTCGTCACAGGGCATGCTGCCTGCGTCTGTGTCTTCCTCCTCTTTTGTTTTTTTTGGCTACACGGTGCGGCATGTGAGATCTTAGTTCCCCGACCAGGGATCGAACCCGTGCCCCCTGCACTGGGAGCACGGAGTCTTAACCACTCAGCTACCAGGGAAGTCCCCATCTTCTCTTCTTACCATGACAGCAGTCCTATTGGATTAGGGCCCACCCTACTCAGAATGACCTCATCTTAACATCTTAATCACATCTGCAAAGGACCTTTCCAAACAAGGTCACGTCCATAGATACTGGGAGTGAGGACTCCAACATCTTTTGCGGGGACACAGTTCAGCCCATAACACGCAGGATCCTTTGGGGGGAAAGACAACTTCGTCTCCCAGCCGCCCCACTGGGACAGGACAGGGGTGTAGCACAGTCCCATCCGAGGGTCCAGCTGCTGCTGACGATGAAGGGCATCGGACCTCCTGGGCCCAGAGCCCTCTGCAGGTCCAGCCCTCAGGCCTGAATACCTTCCCCTCCCGCTGCAGATCCCACACCCTCAGGGGTCATGGTCCCCCAAGACCGATGGCCCTGCAGGTGGGACCCAAGCCGCCCCTGCTCGCCCTCCCAAGGCTCCTCTCTGGAGCCTCCTTCGCGTCCAGCCCTGCTGGGGGTGCAGGAGATCTGCATCTTGTCTTTTCCCTAAAGGAGCTCGGGGATGCCAGACCCGGCTGGGCCACCACAATGAAGACCCCCCAACCTCCAACCTTGAACACTGGCTGGTTGCAGAGTCTTCAAAATACATTCTGCCCGTTCCCATAGATGCTCCTGGGCAGCGTATCCATGAGACGCTGAGCAGCAGGGGTGACCCTCGGGAATCCGGGAACCCGTCATCCAGGGCGAATCGGCTCCAGCTTTGGGCTGGGGACGGGCTGCTGCCCTCCAAGGCCCACATCCCCAGCGGGTCCCCAGGGCCTCTGTCTCTGCAGGGGTGCGTGGTGGTCTCTGGAGCCTTTAAGATGAGGAGGGGGTTTCTGAAGAATGGAGGGCTCTCAGCAGACCCCCTAAGCTCAGGGTGGGCAGTGGAATCCAAGTGCCTAACAACCGATTAGGAGAAAAGTCTCCCTGGAGAGGCGGTCGGCATCCTGTCCTGTGAGGTGTCAGCAACACCAGGTGCTGGAGCCCTGGGCTCAGCGCCAGCACTGACACAGCAGTCACATGCCCTCTCCAAGCCTGGTGTCCTAATCTGTCAGACAGGGATGACAGTGGTCCCTGTCGGGTCATGTATGACTCAGGAATACTCCCTACCTGGGCACCTGGCGCAGGGTCCACCCTGCCATCCTGGACGGACCCCCTGGGGGACCCCTCAAGAGCAGAGCCGGGGAGGGAGGGAGGAACTCGCCGTCACACCCGTTCCTGGAGAGACCCTGGGCGGAGGCGGGCAGGCGGCGGGAGGTGGGGTGACAGCCGAGAGGGCCCCAGTGATGGAACCGGAGACGCGGAGTGTGTGTGCTCCCTCAGACATAGTTAATGCGCTTTGGTGATCGAAGCCAACAGCCACTCCCCCTTTTTTACGGTGAATTATAATATTTGGTTCTCAACGGTAAACCTATTCTGCGTACCTGGGGTAAACCCCAAGTGGTCAAGCTGCACTGCCTTTTCTAAATATCACTGCTTTGCGTTGGATAAAGATTTTGTTAAGGATCTTTGCCTCTCTATCCATGGGGGGTGTTTGTGTTGTTTCCTCGATCTGTCTGTGTCCGCTTCGGTTGTCAGGGTGAAGCTGGCCTCTTCTGTTTTTCTGGAGGGGTTTGTATAGAATCCGTATCATCTCTTTTTTTACCCCTCGATTTCTGTCTATCGTTCCTGACCTCTCAGAGACCAGCCTCTCCATGGAACTGACGTCCGACTCATGACTTGGGTTGGGGGTGGGGTGCGGGGGGTTACGACTTCCTAAATCCTCCACCTGCCTCATCTCGCTGAATCCTTATGACGACCTTACCCCTATTTTACAGGTGGGGAGACTGAGGCTCAGAGAGCAAAAGTCATTTCTCCAAGGTCACTCAGGTAGGACGTGGCAGAGTCAGGATTGGAACCCAGGCTGCAGTGGCCTCAGAGCAGAGAACCCTCTGGAAAACAGAAACGCAGGGCACGCACCAGCGTTGAAGGGAGGCTGGACTGGTGAAGCGGCAGCACAGGGGTGGGTTGGCTTTTTTCCATTTTTTTTCTTTTTTTTTTTTTTTTGCGGTCTGCAGGCCTCTCACTGCCGTGGCCTCTCCTGTTGCGGAGCACAGGCTCCGGACACGCAGGCTCAGCGGCCATGGCTCACGGGCCCAGCCGCTCCGCGGCATGAGGGATCTTCCCGGACCGGGGCACGAACCCGTGTCCCCTGCATCGGCAGGCAGACTCTCAACCACGGCGCCACCAGGGGAGCCCGGCTTTTTTCTTTTTTTAACAGAGTCAAATCCCACTGTGCTGGACGGCAGCCTGTGTTGTCTGAGGTCCACCTCGGCCGGACTCCGTGGGTCCCGCCTGACCCGGATGTTGGGTATGGTGGGAACAAGGCCCCCCCCCAGCCCCTGAGTAGCCCCCAAAGCTCTCCCTCAACGTGAGGCGTCCTCCCCCACTTCCTTGCTCCAACCCACCTGCTCCTCCTGGAGCCTGGAGTTGGTCCTGAACTTGCCCAGTGCTCTCCTGCCTCCTGGCACCACCCCCAGCTGCCATGGCCAGTGCGATCACTTCCCAAAACACAGAAGCCTCCCTGCATTTCCTCTGTCGAGGTCACGTGGTTGGAGGGCCGAGGGGGCTCAGGGACAGGCTGGGGTGGCGGTTTGAGCAGGGTGGTCTCGAGGGAGGAGCACACACATGGGAGTCAGATGCCCGGGTTCAAATTCCGGCACTGACAAGTCGCTGAACCCTTCTGAGCCTCAGTTTCCCCCTCTATAAAATGGGGATGATGCTTACCTTGCACAGGTGTGAGGATCCAAGCTAGAGCACCCAGAGCACCCAGCCCTGGGCCCGGCTCACAGAAGGGCTGAGAAAGGAAGGCAGAGCTGCTCGGGCCACACATACCCCAAAGGACCATGAGTCCCCGCTGGGCACTTGGGACAGGACAGGATGCTTCGGGGCTTGGATGGGCAGGGGTCAGTGGGGACTGGAACCTGGAGATGGGCACCTACCCAGGTCATGGTGGGCCCAGCGGCCTCTTTTCACACATGGAGACACTGAGGCCCAGGAAGTGTGTCAGGGCCATACCAAGTGCCCCAGGCACTATGGAGCCTGCCCTGAACACCCCCCCTCAACCCCGCGCTCCCTGGCTTCAGGCTATGGGTGGGCAAAGGGGGTGTGAACCGACCCCTCCCACCCTGAGCTGTCACATTTCGCCTCCATGCTGTCCAAACTGTCCTTCCCACAGAGCTGGGGCTCAGGGCTGAGGAGGTCACCTCTGACCTGGCTCTGCATCTTTGTAGTGTGTCTGTTTGGCCTCCAGTAAAGTTCTCAGTTGTCAAAATAAAAAGCAGGAAATTGGGGTTCTGAAGACCCCCAACAGCCATTGCCTGGCGCTGGTGCAGCTGGGAGAAGCCCGCTCCCAAGAACACACTACCGTGGGTGCTAACTGGCTGCCTTGTGCCCTCACCCCCACCAAAACATTCGTATATCGAAATCTCAACCCCCAGGACCTCAGAATGTGACTGTATTTGAAGATAGGACCTTTAAAGAGGCAATGAAGTTAAACTGAGCTCATTAGGTAGGCCCTAATCCAATAGCACAGGTGTCCTTATAAGAAGCAAAGCTGGACACAGACACACAGAGGGAAGACCGTGTGAAGACACAGGGAGAGGACGGCCCTCTGCGAGCCAAGGAGAGAGGCCTCGATCTCGGACTTCCAGCTTCCAGAACAGTGAGGAAAGACGTGTCTGTTGTTAAAGCCACCCAGTCTGTGGTCCCTCATGGTGACAGCCCTGGGAAACTACTACGTGGGTTTATTAGGTCAGCTGGCTATCGCCTGTCACCTGGAAGAGGGAAAAGCTCGGGGGAGAATGGGACATAGGCCAGGTGAGTTGGGGGCAGGTCTGCTCTGGGGCGACGTAGGGAGACCACCGAGCTAAGAGCTGCCCAGACCACCGAGCTAAGAGCTGCCCTGGGGGCGTGGGCGTCTACCAAGACACCATCACCGAGCCCCTGCCTGGGGGAAGCCACTTCCCAGATGAGGCAATTGGTCCACTTCAAGGTCCCTGTGTCCCCAGCCCCTGCCCTGCCTGGGGAAAAGTCCAGAAAGGGCAGGAGAAGGGGACGGCAGGAGCTAGAAAAATGCAGAAACTCCCAGATCAGCCGCCATCTGGCTCCAGGAGGAGACAGAACATCTGGCTGCAGCTCCGGGCCCCAGCGT